AAATGGCAGTCTGTTTTAATAGGACATTTGGGTGCAGTAATGAGTGATGGTAAAATCAAATTCCTTTGCAACTGTGTGAGTTTTCCCTTTTGCTCCTTTTTTCACGCCACAACATGCCTTGTGCCTCTGCTGCAGCCTGAGACCTCATCCTACTAGTATGTTAACTCAGGGCAGGAGGAAAATCAAAAAAGATTTCACCAGTGCTAAATGAAGCTGGGGTGGGGGGCGAGTTTGGTTTTACTTATTTCTACATCTGGAAATGCTCATTTTGCTTGTTTCAGAAACATATTCTTTCCTTATCACTAATTCAGCAACAGACAGTCTATATTTCTCTGTCTCTAAACTGTGCCATTTTGGTGATTCTTCTTCAGGAAAATCCCAGTAGAAGACAAATCTGAAGTGCAAGCAACAGAACCTAAGACACCTCCAGCAGAAGTCAAGACGGTCCCCAATGAAGCCACACAAACAAATGAAAATGAGAGCAAAGCATGATCAGCGACAGATGAAAACAAATGACAGAACAACTTCACCCAAGCATTTAAAACACAACACACATCTCATTTCTCTAGTGTCTGTTGCCTTTTTTTAAAAAAACAAACAAAACAGAAAATGCATAAATGAGGGAGGGGGGAAATTGCTCTTATTCTTTTCTTCTCTTTTCTTTTCTCTCTTTTTTTTTTTAAGATTTCTAGAAAGGTTCTATTTGTTGTGCACTTGCTTTTAAAAAGTAATACATTTTAAAAACAGGGTTAAACCCATAACCAAATCAGGGCTTAACTGACCCTGTGTATATTCAAATAAGCAAAATTGCAAATACCGTTTGCAACATGGTTGGGAAGCTCAAAATCAACTAGTCCTAGACAAAAAGGAAAAAAAGAAAAAAAAAAAAAGATGACCCTGTTCTTTCCTTTGTTAGTATAGCAGATATAAACACTGTACTACTTGGTACAGCTGGTACTTAATGAACAAAGTCCACAATTTATTTTTATACTTTTCAGTCGAGTTTGAAATATGTAAAGCTTCATAAATAAGTTATAATTTCTGTTCACCTTGTATTTGTTCAGTATGCAAAGTGTCTTGAGCTCTTTGTGACTGAATTCTGTTCTCCATGTTAGACATTTATTTGGGGCTTATTATCTTTTTTTAGGAAGAATGCCAAAATTGCAGCTTCGGGGATATATTTCAATTTGCAGTATTCAGACTCTACATTTCTTTAAATTTTATGTTAATTTTTGCCAACTTTTGTTCTTTCCAGTGTTTACAATTGACAAATTTTTTTTTTTTTTACTTTTGTTGTGTTTAAATGTATGTGTAAAATAGCTGCCTTTTTTTTTTTTTTTTTTTTTTGAGTAAATACAGTCTATAGATACTAGGTTAGCAGCATGCTTGCTTTGCAAAGGGAGACATTTTAAAACATGGATGTTTACAGTAGTTGTTTCCCCTTTATCTTTTCTTAATTATTGTTGTTATTATTATTATTATTATTATTATGATTTCTTACTGGAGTAAGAAGAAAAGTAATGCTGGGTTTTGGTTTGGGTTTTTTGGGTGGGTGGGGGGTATTCAAACCATTTGTCACCAATCAAGGTCTTTATCCAGCAATCCACGTAAACACATGCTTAACTTGGAATGAGAGAGTTGCTGGTGAGAGTCCTTCTATGCTTAAGTTTAGTAAGAGTTTAAGTCCCTTGCTGGACCTGGGCCTGACTGCATAAGAGAAATATCATCTCTGCTTTTTTAGGACATTCTTGACCCTTTCCTTCATGGAACCCTCCCGGAGCTTTGAGAAGCAGAAGGGAGATTGTACAGTTAGGGCTGGTCTGGTCTCATCTCAGATGTTTGACTATATCAATTCCTCCTTAGGATGTAGGTAAATACCATTTCCTTTGACCCTAGAAATCCGGTTTAAAAGCAAAGACTTTTTGCACAAGGGTACTTAGCAGCATGCAGAGCCGTCTCCATCAGCAGTTGGACTAGATGATCGTTGTAGGTCCCTTCCAACTGAACTGTTCTATCACATCATGTGTACTGAGTCATCCATGTATGCTCTGCAGAATCAAAACCATGAAATCAAGAGCAAGTGCTTGGAAATCTGTACCCAGACTCCCATTGATGTCACTTGTCTTGGCATTGTGTCTCTGACAATTGGAAAAGGGGGCTGATGTACGTTTATTATCATTATGGAGGGGGGAGATTATCATTGGGAGTCATAAAGTAACGCTGAGATTTTGGGGTGAAAAGAAAGGAGGCTTGAGCAGAAGGAAGGCAGAGGTATATAGGGGAAGACCAGCCCATTGTATAGAGATGTTCCTTCTGTTGGGGTTTTGGGTTTTTTTCTCTCTCTTTTTTTTTTTTTTCCTTTTGTTTTGTTTTTTATTCTACTTTAGATCTGCAAGCTTGTGCACTGTGGGTGCGTGACTATTTTAGTGTGAAACGTGTTTTTTGTCATAGTATTGAAATAATAAAAGCTTCAACATAGTTTGGATGTGGAAGGTGTAGCGATAGTTCAGATTTGAAAAAAAGATATTCAGGAAAAAAAAAGAACAACTCTTACAAGGAACAGAAGCCTTTAAATGAAAAATCAAACCAAGCGGACTATGGCATCCATTCTGTTGTGCTAAGGTGATGAACAGAAGGATGATGGGGGGTGGGTAGACTGCAGTTTGGCTCAGGTAAATTGAGCCACTTACATCAGTGTATTCTTCTAAGTATGCAGTCTTTCACAGTGGCATCACATAATTTCAAACTGTGAAGAAATAATGGTCTTATCATTTGCTAAGTGTGGGGGGGTTTGCATTTTTTCCTTAGCTCCTGGGATGCAAGTGGAGGATGACTGGATATGCAGGCATAGACACTCATGCAATACCCATCCTGAGCAGGGTATCGGGGCAGGATGGGTCCCCACTTCAAAACCTTGTGTCAAATTCGGCCCTTGCATGACCCATACCAGCAGCATTAGTGTAACTATAGGAGAGTTTGGCCCACGGTCCCTAGGATTTTTTTTCTAAGGAATCAATCCATAAAATGCAGCACAAAAAGCTGCCATGGTCTGTCTATGGCTGGGGGGACTCCTTGGGGTGGCAGAGGACTAGTGGGCAGGTAGTGTGTACCTCCATTCCCGTGGATGACCACAGCAATTTGTTTCTCATTTCTGCCAAGTTTTTGACTGCTTTTGTCACCTGTATGTTATTCCTCCCAAATTACAACCCACTGAGAGCTGAGCAGCTGATAGGAGACAAGTGCCGTACAATGCTAATGACCAGAAACATGTGACACTGGTCAGCACCTGTTGGGTGAAAATTGTGGTAACTGTCACCTGGATTGGCATTTCTGTCATAAAAGGTAACCAGCTCAGAGCCCAATCCAACACCCAGCTGTATAATTAGAAAGTGCCCTGCTGACTGCAGTGGGTTTGTGTCGAGAGCGATGGAGTGAGCACCATTCCAAGGCAGAAGTGAACCCTGTGACTGCCTGAACACTGGGAGTGTCCATCCAACTCCTTTTTAATGCCCTCATGACACCTCCTAATACTTGTAGATTAATTCTGGAGAGTGGTTTTATACTCGCCCTCAACGGAGAAGAATTTGTTTTAATTGAGAAATACCCTATTTCCAGGATAGCTTAGGCTTCATTGCTTTTATTTAAACCTTTGAAGAGGGACCAATCTGATGCCGTTTATGCTGTATATGTTTATATATGTATCCATGTCATACATATATATCTATATGGCAATGCAGACTGATCAGCTTCTAGTTGTGGAGTGATTACATTTCATGCTGCACCATACGTAAAGATGATAATAGTGCATCCAGTTGTTCAGCTTTTAGAGTGGAGTTTTCTTTTCACACTTTTCTATGGAGCCTTCAAACCCCAGATTTTCACACTAGGCTGTTTTGATAGTTGTTCTCAGACCCTCCATTGACATCCTTACCCAGCATTCCCTACTTTTGGGGGCCTTCTATCTTGTTTAAAAAACAAAAAAACAAAAAATCTTTTTACCAAGTGAAACATCGATTCCACCTTTATTCCCATTCTCACTGGTGTAAATACTGATACTAACTGAGGATTTTGACTTTGCATTCTGTCAGAATACTGTGTTCAAATAAAAATTACAAAAAAGCTCATGCGTACAGTCTGCCCTTCTTTAGATGCTCTGCCAGGGCCTGTGTACAGACGTGGATTCCCAGGGCTGTACTTGCACGTGAGCTTAACGCGGAATGAGCAGTCCTGTTGTGGCATGCCCACAGCATGAGTTAAGCATCTGTCTGAGGCTCTGGGCTGCAGACAAGCAGGAAATGCCGCTGCCTGCACAGCGATGCTAGCGAAGCAGTCGTGCTGCATGGTTCAAGCTGCTACATCTCTGAACAGTGGAACACCTGCCAGCACGTGATTCCGCTGACGGGCTCTTCCAGAGCGCTGAGTGTCACACAGAGGACTATTTTTGAAGTTTGTTTGTCCCATTGTAGGTAATTTCCTTGAGATAACTAACACGCAAACGCGGTTTCACGTCCGCTGTGAATCGGACAGCTGGATTTCCCATGAAAAGACGCTCCTCTGTTCACTGGCTATGAAAGGTGTGTGTGTGCGCATGTGAGTGTTGGCTTTAAAAGCTGTCCTTAACCCACCCTGAACTGGGTGCCTGAGCTTCATTAATGCAGGAGGAATCTAGTTAAATTTAATTCTGTCCTAAGCATTGATCTCCCAGGACACAGAAGAAGAAATGAGAGCTCTGATATGTATCAATACTTTGGGTGCCAGCATCGTTCACAGAAAAAGAAGAAAGTAAATGTATTGAGCTAAAGTACTTGTTATCCCAAGAGAACAGGCTTCTCCTTTCTGCTTCCTCCCTAGTGCTTTGCCCTCTATTCTTGACTGCTTTTTACACTGTGCTTTACAGTAGGACAGTATTTCAGCAAAGCTGCTCTGATTGGCCCCATATCTCTTTGGTACTACTGCTTTAGAAAAGGCTGTCCCAGGAAAAGAGACAGAAAAAATGTACATGAAACAATCCCTCTTGGTGGGTTCTTTCATCGGGTCTCTGTCACTGCAGAATTCCTTTTAAATTCATATTCCAGATTCATGCTTTCAGCTTCTTTATAGCTGTCATTTTTCTTTTGTTGGAATTCCTGACTTCTCTCTCCTGACTCTTTCTTTTCCACAGTTTGTGGAGTTTTCCTAGCCTGCTTTGTTCTTGAAAAGAGTTCCTCCTTATTCCAGTTGGTGGCATACAGATGGCAAAATGGTTCTGTATTCAGATACTGATTTCTGCTTTGTTACACTGCATATTTGCAATACTGCATTTTTTATGAGAACCCACCATTAGCAATGGAGAGTGGGCAGATGTGGTACAATGTCAGTCCTTGGCTAATAGGCACATGTGCAATTGTATCATACAGCTTGCTTCTGCAGGAAAGCTGGAAAGTCAAGAGATGCTCTGGAAATAGTTTATTTCTTTTTTCTGTGTTATTTTTTTTTTCTTTCTCTTTTTCCTAAAATTTTAGCTAAAAACTGCCAAAATTCCAAACTTTTTCATCT